AGATTTTATTTATTTATTTGAGAGAGAGAGAATGAGAGAGAGAGCGAGCATGAGGGGGGGAGGGTCAGAGGGAGAAGCAGACTCCTCGCTGAGCAAGGAGCCCGATGCGGGACTCGATCTCGGGACTCCAGGATCATGACCTGAGCCGAAGGCAGTCGCTTAACCAACTGAGCCACCCAGGCGCCCTGACCCTTTGTATCTTGCATGGGAAAGTTCTGATGAGTACTCCAAGGGAGTGACTAGTTCATACCAGTGATGACAACACAATACTAAGGGTGCCCAAATCTCACTTTTATGGCCAGACAGAATGTGAAGATTTTGGAGGTGGTTGTCACAAGGAGACCTGGGAGGAGAGAGTGTCAATGGGTGTTCCTAAACTTTATTATTTTTTAAACCCATGCTTTCTTTTAATGAAAGCACTTGAGTGGCTAGTCGGTTAAGCATCTGCCTTCGGCTCAGGTCATGATCTCAGGGTCCTGGGATCGAGCCCTGCATCCAGCTCCCCGATCAGCGAAGAACCTGCTTCTCCCTCTCCCACTCCCCCTGCTTGTGTTCCCTCAAGAGAGTGTAGTGTGCCCCCTCACACACAACGGACACCCCAGACCCCTGACATGGATGGTGCAATCTGCTGGCGAGAGTACTGGAAGGAACACAGAGTTGTCGGGAGGTTAGGCGTGTCACCTCCCATCTGGAACACAGGAACATGATCGGGCAGGAGGGCCGGGAACATCAAGGTGAACCAACCCAACAGACCAGGCCTGGCTCTCTTGTCTCCATACCTGGATGGTGCCTTAGGCCCTTGCCCAAAGCAGAGATGTCTCTTTTCTCTGCACTAGGTCTTTCATTCTTTATGAAAGGAATGAGACAGGAGTTTCAGGAACCTAAGAGACAAAAGCTAGGCAGTAATTCTATTGACTCCTTAACTCCTTACCCAAGACGATACCAAGCAACATTCAGGTATCAGCCTACATTCTTCTCTGCCTTCCATAAAGGTGTCTTGTTTTAATTAATTATTAATTAATTAAATTTAAAAAGGTGTCCTGTTTTAAACACTGGAGCAGTCTAGGACTCCCAAGATGGCACTCCCAGGGCACCCCAAGAATATAACACACTTTTTTCCTTTGGGGTCTCTAAATATGCTCCTTGAAAGATCTACCTCAGCTTAGTCCTGATTCCATCCCCCTGCCTTACCTGTCATCTGGGCCAGGTTATCATATCCTTTGGAAAGCCTCCTTCACTGACTCCCCAGGTAGGGACCTCCAGCACTTAACCTCAGCATGCACATATGTCAGATTATATTGAAACTCCCTGTTTATTCCCAGCACCTGGCTTGCATCTTAGCACATAGTATGCTTTAAGGAATAAATGAACATAAAGGAGGTGTGTGGGATGAGTGAGTTACAGGGAGCCTTGGGATTTAGTGGGTCTAACCAGATGTTTCTCTCCTAGATTTCTTCCCTGTCCTTTTCAATAACCAAACTGCTTCAGAAAGAAAAAGGATGGGGGGCGCCTGGGTGGCTCAGTCGTTGGGCGTCTGCCTTCGGCTCGGGTCGTGATCCCAGGGTTCTGGGATCGAGCCCCGCGTCGGGCTCCCTGCTGGGCGGGAGGCCTGCTTCTCCCTCTCCCACTCCCCCTACTGTGTTCCTTCTCTCGCTTTGTCTCTCTCTGTCAAATAAATAAATGGAATTCTTTAAAAAAAAAAAAAAGAAAGAAAGAAAGAAAAAGGATGGTATAGTTCTACATCATTTCTAAATATTTCCAAAAGCTTAAAATTCCATTCAACAAAATGAACCTCAAATACTTACCATACCAGAAAGCAAGGAAACTATGAAGACTCCAGGGGTTACGTCTAAAGGACATGGGACATATCTGACAAAAGACTGATATCTAGACCACATGAAAAACTCTCAAAATTCAACAGTAAAAAAAAATTCCAATTTGGTGAAAATGGGCAAAATACATGAACAGACATTTCACCAAAGAGGATGTAAAGATGGCAAATAAGCACATGAAAAGATAATCAATATCATTAGCCATTAGGGAAATGTAAATTAAAACCATGGGATACCACTACACACCTATCAGGATGCCTAAAACAGAAAATAGTGATAATACAAAATGTTGGCAAATGAGGAAATCCTGGATCATTCATACATTGCTCCACTCATTGCTCCATACATTCCAGCCACTCTGGAAAATACATTGGCAATTCCTTATGAAGACCAAACATGCAGGGGGCAGCTAAGATGGCGGCATAGTAGGAAGACCCTAGGCTTGCCTTGTCCCCTGAACACAGCTAGATAACTATCAAATCATTCTGAATACCTAAGAAATGGACCTGAGGACTGATAGAACAAACTGCACAGCTAGACGGACAGAAGAGGCCACATCAAGGAAAAAGTAAGCAAAGTCATATTAAAAGACAAAATAAACCTCAGGCTTGAGCAAAAAAAAACCCAAAAAAGACAAAACATGTACTTATATGACCCAGCAATTAACTTCTGGGCATATATCCCAGAAAATTGAAAATGTATGTTCACACAAAAACCTGTATACCGTTGTTCATACCAGCTTTACTCATAATAGCCCCAAACTGGAAACCATCCAAATGTCTTCCAGTGGATTAATGGTTAAACTGCTATATCCATACCATGGACTATAATACTCAGCAATAAAGAGGAATTAACTATTGGAACACACAACAATCTGGATGGATCTCAAAGGAATTATGCTGAGTGGGGAAAAAAGCCAGTCTCAAAAGGCTATATACAGTATGATTCAATTTATATAACATTCATGAAATAACAAAAGTAGAGATTTGGAGGGGCACCTGGGTAGCCCCTCCCCCTCTCTAAAATAAATAAATAAAAATCTCTTTTTAAAAAAAGTACAGAATTGGAGAACAGATTAGTGGTTGCCAGGGCTTAAGGATGGGAC